CTCCAACCCCATCTTCAAAAAAAAAAAAAAAAAATCCTGAGACGTTTTTTGGCTTGTCTGGTTTTGCCGGACGGACCCCCCCCGTCCATCTGGCCCGGTCCGTCTGGACCCGGCGTCGGCCTAACCCAGTTTTTGACATATTTCTGCTTTTGGATTGTTGAATTAGGTCCAGTAAGGGCCAGCGGCCTAGCTCAGTTGGTTGAGCGCGTAAGTGGTATTCAGGAGGTCGTGGGTTCGATACCCTGTGTCATCCATTCGGCTCTCCACAGCCCCTACAGCACACTTCGGGATCACCACCTGAGACAATCAGTCCGCGCCCTCCCCCCTCCCCCCCCCTAGTAGGTCTTCGTCAGGATCTGTTCTAGAGGTTAGGCACAACCCTGAGGGGATAGGTAAGCTAGGATAGACTAGGGAGCTTGCTAGGAGACCCATAACCCTTGGTGTGCTTTGCTTCTTGTACAGAGATCACCTGACATTGCAGTCCTCATTACAGGACCGTTACCTTCATTGCAGAATACGGGAACCTGAGTACTGTGTGTTAGATATCGTGAGGTCGGTAGGTAGCAAGGTGTGTGGTGGAAAATATTGAGAGAAGAGAACAGAGTAGTGAATACAGCTGTCCCCCTTACGAGGGGAAGACAGCTTTCTTTCAAAAATTCAAATTCAAATTCACATTAAAAAATTGGGTCCAGTCAAATAGGCCCAACCTCGCTTCACCACAGTGTTGAACCACTACCTTCTTCCACCGAACACAACGCACCCTCATTATGAATGCATCCAACTGGAAAGATGGTCTGTATACACTCAGAATCATGGTGCGTTATGTTCAGGGGAAGACAGCAGTACTTCTGCACCTCTTTTTCCCAACGCGGATTTCTGCTCCGTGCCGATAAAACATATACACTCAGAATCATGGTGCGTTTTGTTCGGGGGAAGACGGTAGTACTTCCGCACCTCTTTTTCCCAACACGGATTTCTGCTCCATGCCGATAAAACAAATGGACCGACACTGGTTCTATTTTTTTCTTTCCTGTCTTGCAGTGCTGGCCGTTTCAGTCCGGTAGGCCAAACCCCGAAGGTCGCGGCACCCATACAGCCACGTCAGAACAAAATTGCTGGCGAATGCACTGGTGGTTTAATTGGCATGGCTCTGAGCACAGTGCTGGTGGAAGATGATAAAAAAAGAGGGACCTGAGACTTCCACCGCGAAGTACAGACCCATCTACAACAGAAAACCTGCAGCACGCTATATTCCTCGCCTGAATATAATACGTGTAGGTGTCGGGGTGGTCACCTGGGCCCCCCCGGGGAAATCCCGGTGGCGGTCCGAATCCATGGACCAGGTCCCCATGTCTTCCCCCCCCCGGGGGAACAATAAACGACAATTATCCCGTCTTGTCTCTTCTTTCCAAACAGGAGTGCTGCCTGTGAGGTTCGCCGCTTTGATTTTGTTTTTCTCCATCGCGCACCTCTCCTCCCCATTCGCTACCCCCAGTTTCAAAAACTTTGCTGGGGTCCGCTCGCCGCCCTCCCCCGCTCGACCAGCCTCTTGCATTTGGACCGCTGCCAGCAGTCCCAATCGATGCCGGGCCCAGAAAAACGCTGACCGTTTCCTACGACCTCGTACCAACACAGCCAGCCGGGTCTCGCGCGGGGCCAGAACAAGAGTACCGAGCTACAGATGGCATTTTTCAGAAGCCGCTTAAGTATCCTAACAGGGACCCTCTTGCATACTATCTTCCCCCAAATAGAACGTACAGTTCTTATCGCTGCATCTTGACTGAAAGTCGCCCCAAATACAGGCATAATGACTGTACGCTTTATTCGGGGCGGTAGTGGGTGTTCTAGACCAGATACAACAGCCATCGGCGGAAGTCTATTCGTATGAACTTGCCACTGCCCCTGAGGAAATTCCTAAACTGCATCAGGTACCATGCCAGGTGCAGGACGTCTTGGATTACTTGCTGCGGGGAGGAATAAGGAGAATCGCGGATTTGTAGAGGTGGGGAAAGGACAGTACAGAGGACCACAAGTGGCAGGGCATTGCAGGCTTAACCCAGAGGACGAACGACTCCATCTGGTCAGTGTGACCTGAAGGAGTCTTTGCGAACTTAGTGCATCAAGGCGAATACCTGCCTTGATGAGCAGCGATACTGGAGGTAAGAATCTTCTTCGCGCTGGTATGCCTCAAAGAGCAGCCATACTGGAGGTAAGAATCTTCTTCGGGCTGGTATGAGCAGGCATCGGCAGCAGCGAGCTGCGGTGATTGAGGACGTGCCTGCCATAGAGTGCATAACAGACCGACGAGCGAGGCAGACAGGAAAACAGAACTTCATCTGGACAGTGACGTCAAAGAGTTTTTACGCGAGGCCAATACCTGTGCCAGGACGTTGCTGCAATAGAGTGCATAACAGCACCGATGAGCAAGGCAGACCGGAAAACAGAACTTCATCTGGACAGTGACGTCAACGAGTTTTTGTGAACTTAGAGCGCAAGGCCAATACCTGCGCCTATGAGTTTTTTGGAACTTTAGTGTGCAAGGCCGATAGCTGTGTCGATGAGCGATACTTCATCAATACTTCGGCGATGCTTCAGCAAGAGGCCGACGGGAAAATAGATAATTTCAATGAGTTTTTGTGAACTTAGCGAGGACGCAAGGCGGATACCTGCCTCGATGAGCGAGCAGCAATACTTCAGGGAAGATTCATCATGCAGGTATAAGGAGGCATATAGACGGAGCTGCGGTGATTGAGGACGTTCATGATGCCATCGAGTGGTGCACATCAGCAAATAGTAAACTTGTTGCGCAAGGCGAATACCTGCCTCGATGAGTGAGCAGCGATAATTCAGGACAGGATGGCCATACAGGTATAAGGAGGCATATAGACGGAGCAATTTGTGGTGATGGATGACGTTGATGCGATAAAGGGGTGCATATCAGCAAATGGGAGAGGCAGATGGAGGAGAATTGGCCCCATGAAATTGGGAGCGATTTGTCGCGCTGTAAATGGGTCATTTACGAAGTTGATTCACTCGCACAAAGTGTGATTTTTCTTTATCGGCAAAACTATGGTTGAATGTGTGGCACCTGGCTATCCAGGTGCAGATGCTCAGGCCAAACTTCCTGCCACCATTCCTCTCGAGCAGAGCAGAGCAGAACAGAACAGAACAGAACGCCTGGGCATTTTAACCACTGTTCCCTGTGATGCAAAAAATTGCAAAATTATTAATTTGCCGGGCCCAGGACACATTATTCTGGGCCCGGGGCACCATCCCCAAAAGGTTCCGAGCCTACCAGTAGCAGCAGGTTGGGGAAAAAAACAAAAAAGGCATAATTTATTAATTTATTAATTTATTTTAATTTATTAATTTTTCCGCCAGCATTTGTTATTGCAATCCAGAATATTCGTTTTTTGTCCAGGTTTTTTTTTTTGTTTATTTATTAATTTACTAGGCTACCAGAGTGGCCCGGGGTCACTTGCCCGGCCGGGCCAAAAACAATTAAAAAATAAAATAAAAAATAAAAATAAAATAAAATTTTATTTTCTATTCTGAATTTGGTGCAGAATTTCGATGTGACCCTGAGGCAAAAGTTGTTCAGTTTATTTTTCTGCATAACATAGTTTTTTTTTCGGATTTTTTGGAGGGTTTTTTTTTTTTTTTTTTTTTTTTTTGGCTGGGACCTTCCCTGGTCCTTGCACGGGCTGGCCACCCGGGACCCGGGCGGCCCGGCTCGTACCCTAGTTAATTTATTAATTTATTAATTTTCCCGCCAGCATTTGTTATTGCAATCCAGAATATTCGTTTTTTGTCCAGTTCTTTTTTTTTGGTTTTCTTTTGGAAACGTTTTCTGCAAAAATAACCAGCACCTCACCTACCCCCCCTGATTTCTTTGAATTTTTTTAATTTCTTTCTTCGAAGTCCTATCACTCTCCACCCTCCCACAGAAGCCTCCCTCACCAGACCGTACGAAGGGCAGAAAAGACACTCAAGTCACTCCGAATACGAGTGGGTCACTCAGGAAATCTCTCTGAGGGTCAAATCTCTCTGAGGCCCGGCATGCTCACACTTACCGCTTTCCTGAATGCAGTCCGACTGACTGCATGAGGGCCAGGACACGGATGCATCAGAACGCAATCGTGCCCGGAGCTCGTCAAAAAAAGACCCCAAGTGTCAGTMCCCCCCCCCCCCTCCCCCTCCCCTGAGAGGGGCTTCAAGGGAGTCTCAGAATCACCAGATACAAGATGAAACGTGTGGCTGCGCGACCAAAACAATAATCTAGACACTTGGAAAAGAAAATCAACCACTGTTGAGCTGTCAGCATACAGTCATCAATTGCAAGGGTCACCAATTACACCCCCACCACCACCACCACATTCGGGTGGGGTTCCAACCTACATGGACCATGCATGAAAGACACCAGGAATGACAAACTCAACCTCGACCATCTCACTAGTGCACTGAAGTTGGTACCCAGTATTCAGAGCATGTCTCGATGCTTCCCCGAAAACGACCGCTCGAAAAGAGATTCGAATGGTTGGGTACACCACTTTCGCAGCCCGCGCTTGCCGACTCACCGTAAGCTTCGTAAAGGGGGGGGGGGATTCTACATGACTCCACCAGTGTGTAGGTTGCTGCCACCACCATACAGTGAGATGAAATGAATGAGAACTCTGATCCTACCTGCACTTGGGGACATCCGTAAAAATTGGAACGATACAGAGAGAGAGAGAGAGAGAGAGAAGATTAGCATGGCCCCTGCACAACGATGACATGCATAAACCGAGAAATGGTCCAAATTGGAAGGGGGGGAAAAAAAAGAAAAAGAAAAGGTTTGATCGTACCTTCAACGTTGTAGCTGGCCAAAAGCCCACGAAACTGCATTCAGGACCCCCCCAATAGGAGTCCACCACTGTACTTCAGCATGCTCAAGAGGACTAGGCGATTCGGAGGCATCTCCACAGGATTGGAGCATGTTATTTTGCCTATTCCCAGGCGAATTCCGAGTGAGGAGATGCCTCCGAAATTGCCTCAGAATAGCCAACATAGCTCCCCCACACCTGCTGCAGGTATCTTGTAGGGTCCTCAAGAATACTCCTCATGAGGAGTCCATACATCACAGTGGGTGCTGACATATGGTCCTTATCTAGTAGTCTCCCCACACCCGGGCCGACTGGCCTAGCTCAGTCCGCACACCCTGGAAGTGTTGAAATATAGACCCGAGTTCAAACTCCACTCGAAGCAGATGAGTACAACTCTCCCCGCGCACCTGCAAACACACACTACTTTCGGTCAGGACTTCTCAGCCTCGCTCAAACATACCGATCCGAACAGACCAGCACATCGGCAGCGTCAAAAACCTCCAAGATGACTCCAACATCACTTGGAAGTCGTAGTAATGGCCCTCGCTCCACTACACACCACAATACATGCATTTGGACGTTTTCTGGACCAGGTGCAGACCGACGAGTCCAACATTCTGAAAGTATTGGGTCTAGAAAGCGATGACTCCAATATCACTTGGAAGTCGTAGTAATGGCCCTCGCTCCACTACACACCACTCTACATGCATTTGGACGTTTTCTGGACCAGGTGCAGACTGACGAGAGCAACATTCTGAAAGTATTGGGTCCAGAAAGCGTCCAAATGCATGTAAGAGTGGTGTAGCGGAGCGAATCAAAGTGGTATCATGGAATGAAGGCCGTACTATTCCATAGTAATGGCCCTCCCTCCACTACACACCACAATACATGCATTTCGACGTTTTCTGGACCAGGTGCAGACTGACGAATCCGACATTCTGAAAGTATTGGGTCCAGAAAGCGTCCAAATGCATGTAAGAGTGGTGTAGTGGAGCGAATCAAGGAGGTATTATGGAATGGTGGCCTCCGAGGACAGTCGACCGATCGTTTGACTGTCCTTGGAAGCCACCAGTCCAGAAAAGGCCTCGCTCCATTACACACCAGTCTACATGCATTTGGACGCTTTCTGGTGCAGACCAACGAGTGCAACATTCTGAATGTATCGGGTCCAGAAAGCGTCCAAATGCATGTAGAGCGTTGTGTAGTGGAGCGACTCAAGGTCCTATTATGGAATGGTGGCTTCCGAGGACAGTCAAACAACTGTGGAACGAGCTCCACTACACACCGCTATACATGCATTTGGACGTTTTCGGGACCAGGTGCAGACGAACGAGTCCAACATTCTGAATGTATCGGGTCCAGAAAGCGTCTAAATGCCTGTAGAGTGTTATGTAGTGGAGCTGAGGTCCAATACCATGTTCAGTATAGTTTTATATCTACCAAGCCGGTCATCCGCAAGGACCGGGCAATCCCTGTGGCTTCCCGGGGGGGGTATCAACTGTCCTCAGAAGCCACCATTCCATGATACCCCACCTAAGGCATGTGCAGATGCTTTGTCACAGGGGCTGCTGAGCGCTGTTTGGGGGGTTGTATTCACCGTTGAGCATGAGAATAACATGAACCTTCATAAGAAAGTCTGTGGAAAAACAACAAGGAGAAAAAAAGAGGGAGCGGAAATAGGTAAGCTTCCAGTGCGGTCCATGTGTTTGTTGGCTTTCCAGTGGTCAGGCTGCACCTCACTCACTTGCCATGAGATGAGGATGTGTGCAAACTGCAATGTGTCTGCAGAGGCAGAGTCGAACAGAAAGAGAAATGGAGGTGGTGGTTGTCCCAGTTCTTCGATAAAACAGAAAACGTGAGTGCCTTACACCTGAGGCTGTTGCACTACAAGGAGAAGACAGCATTTTCAGATCCACCACCGTGCTCTCTCTCTCTCTCTCTCTCTCTCTCTCTCTCTCTCTCTCTCTCTCTCTCTCTCTCTCTCTCTCTCTCTTTGAAACTTGCAACGTCTGAGTGGCCCTGTGGAAGGCAAACCCTGCCAAACCACAATGCAGTTTCTTATATCTTTTTTTCCTTTTTTTTTTGCTGGGACCTTCCCTGGTCCTCGCACGGCCGGGCCGGTCGGGAAAACAAGGTGACCCGGGCGGCCCGGCTGGTAGCCTAGCCTGTGCCTGGATTACGCGCACATGCAACTGTCAGTGACTACGTGCATCTTTTTCTTTTCCCCAATGTTCTTTTTCTTTTCCCCAATGTTCTTTTTCTTTTCCCCAGAGGAGCCCAAATCCGGATTCCTTTCTTTTTTGCAAATGTTGGCTGTCAAGGGAGAGGAAGGGGGGTATAGATTGGTTTTTAAGGGGTTAAAGGGGTCTAAACGGGGGTGCCTTAGTCTGATTGTGTTCTTTTCTTTTCTTTTTTTTTCCAATCCCGTGAGGAATTCCGATGTGACCGTCAGCCAAAAGTCGTTTGCATTGTAATTCTACACAACATTTTTTTTCCCAGATACTTTTTTTTTTTTTTTTGCGCTTTTTGGAACTGGGCTTGCCCCGAGCCCTGCCCGGGGTTCATGTCCGGCCAGGCACCCGGGCATGTATCCGGGCACAAGTTGGGTGTCCGGGCGCCCGGCCAAACCGCCTACTGTAGCTTTCAGGGCATCATTTTTTCATTTAAGACTAGATGACCCGCTGCGGCTTCGCCCGCAAAAACA